TTCAAGGATGAAGATGTTCACATCCTGGACAGAGAGGAACGATGGTTGAGAGAGGAGTAAAGGAGGCCATCTTTGTGAAAAGAAATCGTCCATCATTAAACAGGGGTGGAGGCCTCCGGGTTCAACTGTCCCCCTCTTACAATGCTGTGATTGCTAGTATCACTCAGCCCTCTGTGAATAGTAAACAGCCATCAGTGTGCTAATGATCCATTGTTAGGCTGATGGTCCTTCTTGAGCATGTAATCAGCTGGTTTTGGTTGTCAGTAGCAAACTGGTTGATCCACTCGGATGAGAGACGAAACGTTTCTAGATTTTTTATTTTTTTTTTTAATGTCCAGAGGACCAGATTGAACTTCTTTGGATATGTATCTAATATTTTTCAGCTATTTTATGGGAAACCCTGATCCTGACTCAATAAGTCATCAGAATTTTAATTTCCAACAGTGAAGGCAAATAATTATTCATTCATGATGAATCTCCTTCCTTGCCATCTTATTTAGATTAGTTTAGCTCTTATAAGCTTTTAGGAGAGGTTAGGAGCTTTTTTTGGTTTAGCAAGTACAATTCTGCTTTCTGAACCTACTTATAAACTTTGTGAATGACTAAAGAAACAGAAGTAACACTAGTGGTACTGTTTCATGTCTATCAGATAATCTGATAAACCCACTCAGGTTGTGCCTCTCACATTTAAAAGTACCTTTAAGTGGTTTTTATGTTTGAAAACAAAACAACAGATTTCTGTCTTGTTTCTGAGTTTGGGCAGTAAAATCAAGTCACACATCAAGAAACATCTCAGCAACAAAAGAAATCGTCCAGATGACCTGACTGAACATTGTTGGATTTATACCTGGATTATTGAGCATGAGCTTTGGTGCAAGTCACTGCAGTGTAATGATCTATTCTTGTATTATCATTCTCGTTTCGGTAATATCTACATTTTAACTTTTCTTGCCTTAAAAAAACTTTGCCCTAAAGACTGGCACGAGTTGAGAGACTGATGTCAGGGTCATCAGACGGGATTAAAAAAAAAGAACAAATTTCAATGACAATCTATTTGTAAAATCTATTGAATATGTGAAAAATGGTAACTTAACTAAAAAACTAAAAATTATTATTGGTGGATGTTTTCCCCCCCACGTTTCCTTTTGTGTTTACCCCTTTCAAGCAATTAGTTTAAATGCATATGCGTATTATTATGCATAATAACGCATATTATATTTTATAAATTGCAATTTCAGGTGAAGATAAGCTTTAAGATTGTTGCTGCATCACACCATTGATTCCTCTGGGGGAGACTTCGGTTAGTTTGAGTCCACACTCCTTGAGGAAGGAGATGGCGACCTCCACACTGTCATCAGTTGGACGCTCCAGCAGTAGAGTAAGCATCTCCAAACACAACACCTCATGGGCCTTAAGATAAGAAGTCAGACAAACAGAGAGAGAAGTAAATCATTTACTGGTGCTAAACACATGAACCTTCAGTCAATACCAGGGTAAGAAATCAGGACGTACCACATTCTGGTTGATAAGATGAGCCACAAACTTTGATGCTGTTAGGCACTGTTGCTGGAAAATGAGACAAACTTGTTTAGTGTACAGCTAATGTTACAGCTAAAATAAAACACTACACAAAACATTTCACTGCCAATTTCTTAGACTCAAACACCTTGTGGAAAAATCATTCAACATTGACTGCAGCGCATAAACACACTGATTTAAATGACCACTGCTGTCAGTTTCCTCATTTTTTACTCCAATTTCTTTCTCATTTCAGTAAACTGGACTTTCCTGCATGTTCACATTAAGACTTCCACCTCTGCCAACAAGGATGGATTTGTTTAAATTTAGATACATTCAAAAAATATTTTTAATAGAGCAACTTACTGGACTCTCATTTCAAGTCCACTGAAAATACATTTAAAGTTGGTAACTGAGCATTACTGATGAAGACAAATTTGTACACTCCTTTCAAGTCCAGAGCAACGTTTTACAGTAATGTCTCAAATTATTAAATGTGCCATTGATGCAAGTCAAACTGAGAGAAGGTCAAAAATGTATAAACCAACTCATTTTCCAGCACATTGTTTAGCAATTAGGAGTACAATAAATTACCAAACCTAATGGTTTTACCAAATAAATACAGGTACGTCTAAAAACATTAAAATATTGTAAAAAAGTTCAATATTTTTTTCAGCCACTTCTGAAAGTGAAACTCATACACTGCCTGGCTCAAAACAAAGTCACCACCTGGATTTAACTAAGCAAATAAGTACGAGCCTTTTATTAAGATAATTACTGCATGGACGATCATCTTTCAGCTGGAAACAAGTTATTTAACCCCAACTGGTGCAATGAGTTGCTTCTCATTTCTTAAACAACCATGTTGGAAAGACACATTGTGTGGTCATGGAAAAGATGTCAGTCTGTTTTAGAAGGGTCAAATCATTGGCATGCATCAAGCAAAGTAAACATCTAAGGAGATTGCAGAAATCCAAGAAAGTTCAATCTGGTCCTCTGGACATTCAAAAAAACAAAAAACAAAACAAAGCAAAAAAAATGTAGAAACGTTTTGTCTCTCATCCAAGAGACTTCCTCAGTCTGAGCTGCTGTTTTCAGCT